AAAAAAGCCAAAAATGAACAGGACAAACAGAGATTGAAGGACATGGACAATGGACTAGTGGTTACCAGAGGGTTGGGAGGTGAGGGAGGAGGGGAGAGGTAGACTAGGTAAAGTGAGTCAAATATAGAGGATAGGGGGGGTGAAGTGGGGATAAAGGGGATCAAATATATGGTAACTGAAGGAAACTGGACTTCGGGTTGTAATTACACAATAGAATATACAGATGTCAGTCAAATTATAATGTACACCTGAAAATTATATAATTGTATTAACCAATATTACCCCAATAAAATTAATTAAAAAAAGAATAAAATAGTTGGAAAGAAATAAAAACATAATTTGTACATTCAAATTTTTCATCCATTTGGAATTTATCTTGGTATAAGAAGTGAGATATGGATCCAACTTTATTTTTCCAGATGGCTACATGATAGTTCCAACACCATTTATTAAATAATTTATCTTTCCTTACTGATTTGTCACCTTTACCATATACTATATTTTCATATGCATATGGGATTATTTCTGAACTTCCAATTCTGTTTCACTGATCTGATGTCTGTCATGCATGTGCCAGTTCCATACTGTTTTAATTACTGAGACTCTGTAATATATATGTATTTTTAATCTGATACTATAGGCATAGTATCCTCTTAGTAGTATCTTTTTCTTAGAATTTCCCTGAGGACTGCTTTCTTCTCATATAAGCTTAGAACTAGTTTATCTAGTTTAAAAACAATTCTTTTGGAGTTTCACTGGAAATCTGTAAAACCTGTAGATTATCCTAGGTAAAACAGATATCTTTATAAATTGTAATATACATTGAGTCTATTCAAGAATATGGTACACCTTTTTGTTTGTTCAAGATCTGCATCACTTGTGTAATATTTTCTTTACATAGACTTTGGTAAGTTTATTTCTTGGTGTTCTATCTTATTTTAAATTAGAACTTTTTTTCTATTTTAAATTCTAATTGGTTATTGCTCTTATGATCTCCCTGCTTTCACCCTTGCTCTCTACAATATGTGTTCTCCACACAGCAGCCAAAGTGATCCTTTAGAACAATTATCCAGATCATGTGACTCTTCTTCTCAAAGTCCTCTAATGGCATCCCATCTCAAGGCCTTTTGTACTTACTGCTCCTTCTGCCTGGAATGCTCTTCTTAGCCTGGCTTTTTCCTTCAGTTTGTTCAATCTCTGCTCAAATCTTATCTCCTTAGAGAACTTTTCTGAGACCACCCTTTTAAAAATAGCCCCCATCCACTTCTATCCTTTTGGCATGCTTTATTTTTTCTATAGCATATCAGTACCTGATATTATAATGTACATTTATTTGTATCTTATCTGTCTCCCTCACTGGAAAGTAAGTTCTATTAGGGGTGTGGGGGGGTACGCTTCATTGCTACATGTCCAGAATGTAGAACATATCAACTTGGCGCTTGTCAGTTACTCAGAAGACATTTATGAAATAGAACAGGTGAAGCTCCCAACCTAATGAGCTCCAGGGCTCGTATGGCAGAACTGCAGATGATCAGCATCAGGACTGATTTCTTCTCAGTATGGTTTCTCTGAAGTTTTACCCACTTAGGGCAGACTGAAAAAAAGACCATAAGAAAAATATTTATATATCTAATTATAGCAAAATAGGGCTTCTAAAATTGAGTATTCTCCAATTACTTCTTTGTTAGTGTTTAAGAAAAATAAAATATAATGAACACTGCTTAGATTCCATTTTCTGGTTATTCTAGGTATTAGATTGAAATGAAATACCATTAACTTATGACACAAAACAATGTGCCAAGTAGCTAAATGTGACTAGTTTTAGACTAAGAGAAGTTTGAAATAATGCATTTGCAATATTTTAATTTATGTTTGATGCTTGAAAGCAATGTCGACTAGGAAAAGAACTCTGATTCAATAATGTTGAATTTTAAAGGACACTCAGCGTAAGATATAAAAATTAACAGCAAACATTGTTGAACACTGACTGATACTGTGCTAGGTACTTTACATATATTCTTTTGTTTAGTTCTCAGTAATCTAGTGAGATTAATTCTATTATTATCTGCATTTACATTTACTGAATTTGAGGCTGAGAAAGTCATGAACTCAAGTTGAGTGTCATGAGAACTGATTAGAGTTTGAAAGAAGAATGCTAAATCTCTACATCTAAATTATTTCATTGTTGGTTACAAATAAATGACTCCCTCCTATAAATAAGTCATTACTGGCTACACACAATACCTATTGCAAAGATCAAATTAGATTGACTATGAAATAGTCAAGGTCTGAGTTCTGAAGATGTGAACAGAATTTCAGAATCTCATAGCTGGAACAGAGATCACACAGTCCAATTTCCTTATTTTTCAGATAACAAAGTTGAGTACCAGGGGGAGTACTCAGTGACTTGTCCCAGGTCAAACAGCAAATTAGTGGGTGACCTGCGATAGAACACTAACTATTCATTGGATTCCTAGACTAATACTTCTAATGTGCTATAAACAAAAATGAGACCAAAACACAAAATCTCAAAGCCAGAGCAAAACAAGGAAAAAGTTAAATAAATAAAAATTACGATGGACCTTAAAAATCTCTCCATTTAAAATCCATTTAAGGCGGAAACTTTTGATTTTAGACGTAGTTTTATAAGTTTTTATTTTAAAGAGACAGATCTTATGTTTTAACACAATAACAACTTGGTGGATAATTTTTTAAAAAATCATAGTTTACTTACTTTCTTTTAGGTATGATGAAAGACTATGAGTCAAATCATTGGCCTTGAGGAAACAGGAGTCTAGAAATGAGAAACATGCTTTGTAGACAATTTTGCAAACACACACATAATCAAAACAGATTAAATGTGAATGGTATATTCTTGAACAAGGTTTTAAAACATTAGCGTATTGGGAACTTATTAATATTTTACAGTGTTGTCTAGCATTTAAAACAACAGCAGCAGCAACAACAGGTAAACTTTTAATTGTCTTTAGTCTCTTAGGGCAGTGAAAGAAAAGCTTATTGTATCATTCAATGGATTAATGAAGCATCTTTATTTTTTAACTCCATGGAACAGACAATATACAATGGCAAAGCTGAAATAGCTAATAAATCTATGTAGAGACGTTCAAACTCACTAGTCATCGCAGATGTGAAAATTAATACAATGATGAGATAACATTTTACACACACATTAAAATGGCCACTGTTAGATGTATAATATCAAGTGTCGTCAAGAATATAGGGTGATGGAAACTCATATGAAGTATAGGTGGAGGAGTAAACTGCTATTGCTATTCTGCAAAGTAGTAAAATTAAGATGTATACCACCTTATGACCCCACAATTACATTTCTGAGTAAATAATGAAAAGAAATTCTTGTGTGGTCGAGACATACACAGGTATATTCATCTTAGAATTATTTGTGATAGTAGGGAATCGGAAGCAACCTAGGTGTCCATATCTGAGAAAATGGATGAGCAATATGTGATAGATGAAATCACTGGAATATTAAGCAGCATTTAGAAGTACTGAACTAAATGTACATAAAAGCATATAGACAAATCTTAAAAAGTGTTAAGTTAAGAAAGAAACAGAATGAGAGATTCAGCACAATATCATTTAGATAAATTGTAAAATGCACACACATACAACATATTTTACAAGAATATATACATGTTTAAAAACATATTAACACA